CAACAGCAGGGAGAAAGGGGGTGGAAGCCTTGTCCAGTGGCCCCGGGGGGACACTGCTCTAGGGGACGGAGGAAGGAAGCTGAAGTGGAGAAGAGATATGGAGAGAAGGAGAGAGGACCAGGCTGAGGACCTGATAGTCTTGACTAATTCACATCTGTGGGCTGTGGAGGGGGAGGGAGAAGCCTGAGGCAATGATGGCACAGGGGCAGAGGGGAGGAATCAGATGTGGGTTCGGGGAAGTGTTATGAAGGACCCTCACTCCCAATTAACCCACTCAATGCTAGTTTATGTGGTCTTTCATGTGGACCAGACAGAAATGAGAGTGACTTTCTGCCATGTCTCCTCAGTGTCCAGGCTTGTTATTAAGTAATTAATGGCCCAGTGCACAGAATTCATGCACAGAGTGTGTGTGCTGGGGTGTCCCCTCAGCCCAGCCTGCACTCTCTTCAATTTGGGACCCCTAGGGGGATGTCCAACTGCTGGTTTAGGCCCAATCCTACAGGGATCAGAGGTATTGGGCCTAAACCCACAGTCGGACATCTCTCTTGCAAACCGAAACTGCTGGCTCATAACTGCTCACCTGCCTGCCTACCTGATCGCCTTTAACCACTCTGTCTGCTGGCCTGCTCACCCCCAATTGCCCCCCCCCACCGGCCTACTCTCCCCCAACTTTCACCCCCTGCTGGCCTGGTCATCCCCAACTGGCCCCCACTGATGACCTGATCACCCACAACTGGCCCCCTTACTAGCCTGATCACCCACAACTGCCCTCCTGTCTTTGCCCCTAACTGCCTCTACTTCATCCCCGCCATCATGGCTTTGTCCAGAAGAACATCCGGAAGGTCTCCAAGTCTAATTAGCATATTACCCTTTTATTAGTATAAATAGAGGCCTGGTGTACAGTTTGGGGCTGGATGGTTTTCCCTGGAAGGTGTGAAGGGTGTCCCAAGTCAGGGTGGGGGTTCTCTAGGTGGGCAGGGTGGCCTGGGCAAGTGGCCTGTGGTGGTTTGCAGGCTGGCCACGCCCCCAATGGATTGGGGGTCCCACTGGGGATGGTGCTGACCTGGGTGAGGGGCTAGGGAAGTTTGCAGGCCAGCCACGACCCATGAGATAAGGGTCTCTGCTGGGGGAGCGGGTGGAGGGGGGGCATGGCCAGCCTGGGTAAGAGGCTGATGGCTGTTTGCAGGCTGGCCACACCCTCCAGCGGGGACCCTTACCCCATGGGGGTGTGGCCAGCCTGGGTGAGGGGCTGAGGGTCATTTGAAGGTCCCTCCCTTGGTTGCCGGCCCAGGTGACCCAAGCCTCCCATGTGCTCAGGCCGGCTCTGTGGCTGCCATCCACAGGCCCCTCCTTCAGTGACTGGTCAGGGCAGGTAGGAAGCTTGGGTAGCTCAGACCTGCTCCATGGCTGCTGCCACAAGCCCATCCTTTGGTGGCTGGCCCAGGCAGGCAAGAAGCTTGGCCTCCTCAGACACCGGGGATGACCCAAGCCTCCTGCCCAGTCCGGCTGGCTCTGTGGCCACTACCATCTTTGTCCCACTAATTTGCATATTCCCTCCTGATTGGCTGTGGGCATTACAGAGTGACAGTCAATTACCATATTTCTCTCTTAACATAGATGCCCTGTGTGAGACTGCCTATCGCGCATCCTTGCTTTCAACCATCATGTGAGGTAAAGTCTAGACTCCAGAGTATTCTGTCTCTTTACATGTCATCACCTTTGATTCTGAAGCTGCCTCTGTGCCTTGGCAGCACTGCCTCCCTAGCAAGGGTCACTGCAGTGGTTCGTGCAGGGCCTTTTGGAGTTCATCTCTGGCTAAGAGAAGGCGCAATGTATGTTTTAGGGTTACTTTCCAGCACCAAGAATGTCATCATCAGGATCTCTCTCTCTCCTCCTGAAGCACAGTCCCCATCACAGGGTGGCAGGTGTAAGGTTGGGGGTGTTGTTAGGGCCTCAGAGCCATGACAATCCTTTTAAGTTAATGTATTGTATATCAGCCCTGGGCACCAGCCTCGGGAGACACAACCCCCAAGGCTGGGCAGGAGTTGGCTTTGCAGGGCTCAAAGCTGTCAGATGTATGAAGCCAAAAAAACTGGGAAGAGGGGAAGAGCTATCACAAGGGAAGCCCAGGAGGCACACTGAGAGGAGTTCTGGAAATACAGGCTGCTGCCAGCAGGGAGGACTGGCCTCTGAAAGAGAAGAGGAGAGACAGGGTGTGTGTGTGTGTGTGTGTGTGTGTGTGTGTGTGTGTGTGTGACAGGGGGTGGGGAGGGAGCCTGTTCTGGGTGAGGGAAGAGAACAAAGCCAACAGCAGATCTACAGCTGCTCTTACTGAGTGAGCAGCTACTGTGTGTGGTGCTGTGCCGTCACCGGCACCATATCCGCTCACGCACCTGGTGACCTAGGAGGTGACTGAGCCATCTCCAGGCACACAGCTAGCCAGGATTTAACCAGCGCAGCCTGATTCTAAGACCCATGCCCCCACTTCATGCCACAGTCTCCCCAAAGCAGGGATCACAGAGCTCTAGCTCCTCCTTCTTCCAGGCATCTGTCTCCCTCCAGCCCCAGCAAGGCAGAAAGCCCCTTCCTGCCCCCAGCTTCTGCTCATGGCACCAGCCCCTCAGCCCTGTCCCCTTGCTTGGGAGGAAAGAGCTGGCTGGAAACATCCTCAGAGCCATCGGTCATTTGGGGAGCAGCTCTGCTGCCGGTGAAAGGTCTATGAGGTGAAAAGAAAGAAGCCTCTTTTCCAGCAAATGCTGCTTGTGCCTCCATGGCAATGAGAGGTACAGCTGAGCCAAGGGCCATGTACCGATGAGGTAGCTGGTGCCCGAAGAGGATGTGGGAAGAAGCCGAGGTCTGGCAGGGAATGAAGGCGTCAGTCTCCTTTGTCCCCCTGAGAGCCGCTTCAGTGTCGATGTGATGGCCCATCAAGAATGGGCGGCTGGCGCTCCAGTGCTGCCAGGAACGCCCGCAGAACCAAAGGCAGGGAGCCTTGCAGGGTGGATCAGTGGGTAGAGCGCTGGCCTGCGGACCGAAAGGTCCCAGGTTTGATTCCAGTCAAGGGTGTGAACCTTGGTTGCAGGCTCCTTCCTGGTCAGGGCTCATGCAGGAAGCAACTCATCAATGTGTTTCTCTGTCTCTGATATTTCTCTCTGTCTCTCCCTCTCTCTCCCATTCTCCCTAAAAATCTATGGGAAAATATCCTCAGGTGAGGATTAAGGGGAATAAAGAAAAGATAGAGGAGTTGGTCTTTCACATCAAACTCTTGTCTGAGACCTGCTGGCTGGCACCGAGAACACTGCAGCCTAGATGAGGGTGGGGGTGGATCTAGGGCCAGGACTGCTGACATCTCTGGCTTCGCTGGGAAGAGCCCGAGAACATTAAATATTCCTTTCCCCTGCTGGGTGTTAACTCTATGACAACCAGGATCTCGTGGGTTCCTGCCCAGCCCCTGCCTGGATCAGGGACACGCACTGGACAGCTGATGACCAGGTGCCTGCCCAGGCCCTGTCCGAAGAACCGTGTCACAGGCTGCTGGGCTCGTCTTCTGCAGGTGAGCACCTGCCTCATGTTGGGGGGGAGGGGCGCTTTCTGCAAGGGGCATTATGAGGCCATCAGGCCCACACCTGGGAGCCAAGAGACCAGTCACGTAGACAAGCTGAACTAACCCACTCCTCTCCCTGGAGAATCCAAACCAGGCACTGAGGGCAGCTGGCACGGATGCCCGCAAGGGGCCACCCGCCGCCGAAGGAGGACTGTGCCTGCTGCCTGTCTGCCTGTTCTCCAAGCCTGAGGTCCTGTGTCCTGTCTGACATGGAGGACGTGCCCCCTAAATGTTTCCTGAATGAATACACACAGAGTTGTTGGGCCTGGATGGCTGTATGGGACAGGGACACGTCTGATGGACCTGGATGGCCCGTGGGATAGGGGTGCGTCTGGTGGGTTTCCTTGAGCGAGCTGTTCTTCTGTTTTGTTTTGCTTACTTTGCCATGAGCACTGTGAGAGGTGGAATTGGGCAGGAAAAGGTGGAGATGGGGACTCTAACGGCTGAGGGAATAGATGCTCTCACCTCTCAGGTTCAGAGCTTCCCTCTGCCTGGAGCTGCTCCTTTCCAGCTGAGCTCCAAGCTCCTAGCCAACTCATGGGAAGCTCATCCTGTAAGGTCATCAGGGCAATCCCAGTAATAGGTGGAGGACACCGGGGCAGGGGTGAGCTCGCAGGTTAATGCTGCGAGTTCAGGGTCCGGCTTCACTCAGTCATTGACTATCTTTGTGGTTGAGAAAGTTATCCAATGCCTTTCAGCCTCAGTTCCTTTTGTAAAATGGGTATAATAACACATAATTCTTGGGTTGTTGGGAGAATTAAAAGCAATGACCCAGCACACAGTAGGGGTTCTGTATGTATGACTTGAGTGACCTACTGTGTATGTTTGAAAGCATTACAATTCACAAAGGATTTAAGTTGTTTGAATCTCACAATTTGCAGAGTAGATCCCAGCCTTCCCATTTTACACATGAAGATACAGAAGCTAAATAGGATAAGTGCCTTGTCCAAGGTTACCCATAGAATAAAAACCAAACTCCATCCCACATCCCAATTTCTGCCCACAGCACTACCCTCAGCACAAGAAAGCAAGACGGGCAGTCAGGCATGCAGTGACCAGGCTATCCTCAGGCAGCTGTACCTTTCTCATCTGAATCCCACACCACGTTTCATTCAGTGATTTGTGTACACAATGTCCAGGAGGATAAATGAATCAAAATATGAAGAAATTAATGAATGGGTGAATGAATGAATGAATGACTATCTTGTCTTAGTTCGACTCCACCCATGACTCACACAAAGCCTGGGAACCTAGTGTAGGGCCTCCTGGAACGTGTCTCTTTCCCTCCCTGGGAAATGTCTCCACCACAGGCCTGGCAATGGGGGAAACTCCTCCACTCCTCCAGACCCTCCTCTACAGCAAGCAAAGCAGAGGGCAGCCTGCCCGTTCTACGTACTGGTTTCCGCAGTCTCATACTCGCTGTCTCTGAGAAGCTCAAAGATGTCCACTTCGACCTTGGCTTTGCCCAGCCTCTCGGGAGCACGGTTGATGCGGTTCTTGGCCAGGGTGATGGAGAGCCGCTCCCCTCTGCTGCACTCCATGGGGTCATCCAAGATAGCAGCTGTGGGCAGGCAACCATAGGCAGACAGTTGGTACCCCGTAGTTACTCCTCCTCCTCCGGGCTCCCACTGCTCCTACCACCAGGGGGCTCCGGCATCTCCATCCACCCAGCCTCTACGTCCTATGGGCTGTGGCCTGAGGCCACCACAGGACTGAATTCCACGTGACCCACCTCAGGAGCCTAGAAATGTGGCAGGCACTGGGTCTGCCTTGCATATGTGTCTGTGCATACAGCACATGTGTGCGGAGGAAGGGAGGCAGGAACTGGACTCCCAAAGGGTGTTCTGGCACGTGTGAGGCTCCCCTGAGGGCAGGCAGTGAGAGCTGGCCCCAGGCTCCCACTCCATGAGCCTCATCACCAGGCAGTGAGTTGTTGGTCTGAATTTCCCCTCGGTGGGCACTAGGAAGAGTGAGACACTCACGGGTCAGTGTGAGGTTCCAGAAAGGTAACACAGGGACTTGGATGCTGTGCGAATGTAATCCGTTACTTCAGCATGTGAAGGGCGTCGGCTTAATGAGGTGCTGGGATACCAATAGCTGCCCAGCTTCGTAAGTGTTCTAAAGCCAAGTGCAGTGCCACAGGCTCCTGGGTTCAAATTCCAGCTCCGCCCCGAATTAGCTATGGGGCCTCCATTTCCTTGTCTGTAAAATGGGGACAGAGGCTCACTTGGATAGTGCGTGTGCAGTGCTCAGAGCAGCGCCCGAGCATGATAAGCACTCTGTAACTACCGTGTCATTCACTGTCTTGGTAGAAGTAACCCAACTGAACATCTCCATACAGAGACTTGGACACAATGTCCACAGCAGCATTATTCATAATTGCCCAAAGCCCGCAGATGATCAGACAGGCACATCCTGAAGGATGGTGAAGTCCTGATGCATGTGACCACATGGGTACACATTGAAAACACTGTGCTGACCGAAAAGGTCAGCCACGGACGCTACGTGGGGATTACCCCATTTACATGACCGTCAGAGCAGGCAGATCCCCAGCTGCAGGAAGCAGAACATGGCTGCCTGCTGGTGGGTGAGGAGAGGGAGTGTCGGGGGGGCGGGGGACAATGTACGGGGGCGGGGGGGGGGGCGGCAGCAGGGGCTGAAGCAGGAGAAACGCAGGGTGGCTGCGAGTGCGTGCAGTCTTTCTTTGGGGGCAGTGAACACATTCTGAAGTTGATTGCAGTGAGGGATGCATAGCTGGAACGCATTAGAAACTAAAGTGTACACGTGAATGAATGAAATACGGGGCATCTGAACCACATCTCAATAAAGCTGTACAACAACAGGAATACCAAGCTCATCTCTCAGAGCTGGAAACTCAGAAAGCAATGTGGGGGAGTGAGCCGAGGCGTTTATCAACATGTGGCCCAGAGGCTGCCACTGCTGTGGGTGGAGATCCCCGCCAGCCTCCCTGCAAGCTCCTGGGCCGCCTGCCGCGACCCACTTTCCAAACCAAACACCAGGGCAAAGTGTCCAGCAGAGCTCCTGCCTGTGGCTCTTTGTATGTACAGCCTGCTCGATAGAATGGCATTTCCTCTGAGGCTGGGCCTCAGAGGTCATCGCACCGCCTGGGGCACAGGCGGGCTTCTGTGAGCAGGAGCGAGGTCCCCATGCACCTGATGACCTCAGCCGCTTGCAAAGTGGTGGAGAGACTGCGTGCATGCGCACGTGTGTGTGTGTGTGTGTGTGTGTGTGTGTGTGTGTGTATGTGTGTGTGCCTGAAGGACTGGGCCTCCTGGGCCTCCACCCAGTGGCCCAGGAGAGCAGACCCAGAATGAGACTGTCACTCAAGCACAGCTGGGACAGGGGGCAGGGCCTGCTCCCAGGCTGCTGGCGGGGCTGAGAAATGGGGCCACCAAGTGGACGAGTCTGGCAGTTGCTTAACATATTGCGGGCGGATCAAGAGCATGCTCGTGTTTTCACATTACACAGCGTTTTACATAGATGTGAAAGGCATGCCTTAAACTTAAACACCCATCGCATTTTGAAGTTACTTATTACATGTTCTTACAGCTAATATCTTTCTAAAGTATGATATTTGTAAAACTTTTTTGTACTCTTCCAATAGAAACTTATCTGGCCACTGGGTAAAGCTAGAAATGAAACCACTGGTGCGCAACATGGTGAGAAATGAAACATACAACAACCATGTGATTCATCCTTTCCACTCCTACATATTTATCCAAAAGGAAAACAAGTGAATGTCTACACAAAACTGGTACAAAAGTGTTCATAATGACTTGATCTGTAATAGTCTAAGACTGGAAAAACCACTGATAGCTGAATGCATAACCAAAGTACACTGAATACTACCCAGGGATAAAATGGAATTAAAGAAGCCAAACAAATGAACACAGTGCATACTGCATGACTTCATTTCTATAGTTTTCTAGAAAATGCAAACTATTCCATTATGACAGTGGTGGGCTAGGGTAGACTGGGGCAGAGCAGGAAGGAGCAGGAGTGAGGAATCACAAAATGACACAGGGAATCTTTTTTGGCTGACAAAAAAAATGCATTGTCTTGATTGTGGTGATGGTATCATGGGAATGTGCATGGTAAAACATCAAACTGTACACTTCAAAATGTTTGCAATTTATAGCATATAAATTATACCTTGAATTTTAGAAACATACTTTAATTAGGAAAAAAATTTACTATTCTTCTGGCTCCTTCCTACTTTCTCTCTCCCATCACCCTCACTCTCAGAGAAGAAAACACTTAGTAACTTGTGTGGTTATACCCACAGCCTCTACTCCACCGCATCTTCTCACCCTGAGCTCCCACCAGCTTTGCATTCCCTCCGAGAACCAAGCTCTTCCTTACAAACCAAGGGTTCCCAGGACTCTGAAGCCCTCTGAGGCCCTTATGATGGCAGCCCTTTGACATGCATGATACGACACTATTCTGGTTTTCATTCTTATCAACTCCCCCTCCTCCACCTCCTTCCCATCTCCTCTACAACCCTAGCTGCCAGTGTTCCCCAAACCTCACCCTTTGGATTTAGTCCTCAATCCACTTTCTCCATTGCAGAATTAATTCTCAACTATCAGATTTCTGCAGACAACTCCTATTTATGGCTGCTAAAGAGAAAGCCCCCCCCCTGAAGGTTCTTCCAAACTGCATGACTCAGTGTTACCTATTCTCTTTTCCCCAGTTTCAGTCAGTAACACCCGTTCCCCCAATACAATCAGTTCAGAACTGCCCTGCATCTTCCCTTCCCTCAGCCATCCTATCTGTTCCATCGCTGAGGGCCCGTGGTGTTTCCTCCTGTCCACTGTTCTCTCTCCCTGCTCTCCTTCCCTCACCCCTGCCTCTCTCCTACAATACCCTTAACCTGTTTTCCATCTCCGGTCCCTCCTGCACTAACCCAGCTACTCCCACAGCTACTTCACCTGCCTGGCCCCCACATGCCTTTCCAAGCTCACATTCTACTAAATCCTCTTGGGGAGTCCTTACAAACACCCAATCAAGCACATCCCTTGGCATGTGTCTCTTTTCCAGGTGGTCTGCTCTTCCTGGAGAGCTCTCAGCTCTTCTTCGTCCACATCCAAATCCTGCCTACACTATGCTCCATGCTCATGCCTGTGCCCACCTGCCTCAGGCAACTGTTGACTGTCCAGCCCACAGCGATTTTTAAATTCTTCAATACCCAACACACTTACTGTCGGGGCGATTCCTCTGTGGGGGTGGGGAATACCGTCCTGCAGGCTGTATGAGGCTCACAAATCATTTGGTCTGGCCCTGCCAAGGCATTAAGGGTGAGTAAATTAAGTGTTTGACCAAATAGAGCAGGTTAATTTTTAAGTTGGTAATTTTGGATGGTCAGCAAATGATGCTATAAATATCCAAATGGCCCTGGGCAGGAAAGAGGTTCCCCACTCCTTGTTTAGAGCATAACATTGTACTTTACAATTGATATGAGTAATACATTGATTCATTTAATCACTCCTTTATTCATTCATAAGATAATTATTTAAATTCTTATCTTAAGCAAAGCATTTTGTACACAGATAAGCATAAGTTACCCTTGCTTTCCAAGTGTCAAGAAGGAGATACGACTATAGAAGCAAACGGCCACAAGCCATGAGGTAAGTGATGTGACAAAATCTTATTATGCTCCAGACATAAATCAGAAGTGCTCACTGTGGTGGGAAACCACAGGTAACTAGGACTAAGTCCTCAGCTTTGAAAGGCATCTGTGGAGATGGGGTGAGGAGTGGAGTGAGGAGGAGACAGACTGTACAATGAAGTAGGTAATTCCATAGAAAGAGTCACAAATTTCCAAGATAAACGATCATTATACTTGTCAACAATAAAAATCAAATACATTAAAAAAAAGTTTTTACTTTTTCAATAGTGAGTACCATGTTTAGCCACTGGTCTTGTCCATATATGGCTTTATTGTTTGAGATACATTCCTTCTATACTGCTTGTTGGGAATGTTTATTCTTTTAAAATGTATATTTTTTTTTTATTGATTTTTTACAGAGAGGAATGGAGAGAGCTAAAGAGTTAGAAACATCGATGAGAGAGAGTCATCAATCAGCTGCCTCTTGCACACCTCCTTCCGGGGATGTGCCTGCAACCAAGGTACATGCCTTTGATGGGAATCGAACCTGGGACCTTTCAATCCGCAGGCTGATGCTCTATCTACTGAGCCAAACTGGTCTCAGCTGGAGTGTTTATTCTTAAAGGATGTTGGATTTTGCTGAATGCTTTTTTTGTGTCTGTCCTTCATTGTGCTGATGTGATGCATTATAATGACTGCTTTGCACACATGAGTTATCCTTGCATTCTTGGAATAAATACCACTTGTTCACGGTGTCTGATCCTTTTAATGTACTGTTGAATCCAGTTTACTAATATTATGCTGATGATTTTTGCATATATTATCATTAGCAATATCAGCTTGTAATTTATTTTCCTTAGTGTCCTAGTATGGTTTTGGTATTAGGGTAATGCTGACCACATAAAATAGATTTGGAAGTGTTCCCTCCTCTT